CACTCACACCCGACACAAAGGTTTGCAAAGGCAAGTGCAAGTTGATGTGCTTACTTTTCTTTATATTATTTATTTTCTTTAATATTTTGTATTACACTACTGTAATCATTTTATATAAATATTTTTGGGTTGTGGAATAAATCATGTAAGTTTCCATTATTTCTTATTCAGAAATTTGCTTTGATATACAAGTGCTTTGGATTGCAGTCATGTTTCTAGAACAAATTATGCTTGCAAATCGAGATTTTACTGTGTTTCTGAAACCTGAAAAACATGTGCCTTCTCTTTTAGACAACTGTGAAAAAGAAATGTTCCCTTAAGAATATTAGTGTCTGCGCCTTGTGTGTAGTGTTATACTACTGTCCTTTCTCATTTTAACCTGAATTGTATTACTACTTTTCCATAACAAGTTGACTACATTGTTGTGAGATCTGCAGAGGCATCTGAAAATCAGTTACAAATCTCTTAGCCACTTGAAATTCTACTTTTATTCAAAGTATGGTTATGTTAGAAGGATCCTGAACTTTGGAGTTAAATACATGCCAAATTCTGGTTCTACCACTCACTATTGATATGAAGAAGTCAATCATTAAACCTTTCTCACATGGAAATAATTTGCCAAATCATGATGGCTCCTCATATTTGAGAAGCAAGAAGGGTTTGAACTAATGCCAGGTGTTCTTGGATCCCAGCCTTATGAGTTCAAATTTCTATTCAGTACTCACTGGCCTTGGGATTTGGGACAAATTAGTCCATGCTTCTAAATTCCAACATTTATCTGTAGAAAGAAATCAATAATGACACCTATCTAACTGAGTTATTCCATTAAATGAAATAACATCTGAAAAATATTTAGCAAACTTCCTAGGATAGAACAAGCACCCAATACATGTTATTTATCTATTTAATAAATGTCTTGGGACTAATACATACTTCCATAAAAGTAATCACTTTTTTATAGATACCAACATTGTCCTCTTGATTCTGACTTAGCATCTTTTCTACAGACTGTCTCTCCATCTTGTTTTAACTACCAAGTTAAAACTTATCAAAGCTAATCTCAATTAGGACGCCATCATAATTGTGATTATCTGCTAGCCCTCCCATCCTATTT